GGGCACCTGGGTGGCTCAGTCAGTTAAGTGCCGACTTTGGCTCAGGTCATGATCTCACAATTCGAGGGTTCGAGCCCCGTGTCAGGCTCTGTGTGGACAGCTAGCTCAGAGCCTGGAGCCTGTTTCAGATTCTCTATCTCCCCCTCTCTCTGACCCTCCCCTGCTCATGCTGTCTGTCTGTCTGTCTGTCTCTCTCTCAGAAATAAATAAAACATTAAAAAAGAAAGAAAGAAAGAAAGGGGGTAATATTGTTTGGTTCTCAGAGTTTTTGAAAGGCTCAAGCAGAAAAGTGCTGTGATATTTTGAAAAGCATAAAGTTACAAAGTAGAATATGATTTAACCATTTTTTCTTCTAATCATTCCTTTTTATTTTATTTTTATTTTTTGTAAGTCTATTTTTGAGAAAGAGAGAGATAGAGAGCACAAGTGGGGGAGGGACAGAGAGAGACAAGAAGAGAGAAAATCCCAAGAAGGTTTCTCAGTGCCAGAGTGGAGCCCGACACAGGGCTCAAACCCACAAACCATGCGATCATGACCTGGGCCGAAACCAAGAGCAGGACACTCAACCAACTGAGCCACCCAGGCACTCCATTGTTCTTTCATATTTTTAAATGAATAAATGAATCCCTCACCCCAGATCCTTACTCCCAACAGAAGAAAGTTTAACTGGAAAGTGCAGGGATTTCAGAAGGCACCAAGCTTGAACCGAAATGGATCTGAAAAGATATAGATAATAGGGCCATGATTTAACAAGTTTCACTGGATGCATATGTTTACTCATTCACACAACAAATAAGGCAGAAATGGAGGTGTTCTTTTCTGTTCTACAAGCTTTTCTACAACAGCTTGTAAAGGCTCTGGCCAGCTGCTTTATCTAACTACCATGCTGAGCAATCAGCTGGTGGCTGGGGGGATGGGGGGAAGCAGTTGTTATTCTGCGTTTTCTGCAGGCTTTGGGATGCTGGTTTGGAAGATTTTTAAAAACATTTCCAGTTGCCTGGAAGCATCGTTCACAGGTTAAGATATAGCAAGTAGTTGGGTTTTTTCAGACTAGCAAATATATACATACGTTTGTATATATGTGTATACATATATATAAAGATTTATTTATTAAATAATCTCTACACCCAACATGGAACTTAAACTCATGACCCCAAGGTCAGGAGTCACATGCTCCACCAACTCACTGACTGAGCAAGCCATGTACCCCACAGTAGTAAATGTTTAGTTTAATTAAATTTTATTTAATTATTGTTATTATTTTTATTTTAACTAGGCTCCCCACCCAATATGGGGCTTGAACTCACAACCCTGAGATCAAGAGTCACATGCTCTGCCAACTGAGCCAGTCAGGTGCTTCTAGCAAATATTTTATTTATTGATTTTTAATTTTAAAAAAGTTTATGTTGAGAGAGAGTGCAAACAGGTGCTGGGCAGAGAGAGAGGGAGAAAGAAAATCCCAAGTAGGCCCCACACCCAGCACAAAGCCTCACACAGAACTCTATCTCAAGAACTGTGAGATCATGACCTGAGCTGAAATCAAGAATTGGATGCTTAACTGACTGAGCCACCTAGGCCCCTCTAGCAAATATTTTAAACATTAGTAATAGTGTTAGCTAGGATGTGAGAAAATGGGTACTCTCACAAAGAAAATGTAAATTAGTGGAATCTTTGGAGGATTATGTAGCCATATCTGTTCCACTCCACCCCAAAATTCACGACAGAATCAGACTACAGATGGGAAGAGGGATATCCCTAGATGCTAGAAGGCAATTTTATTATAATTCTTAACATATTTAAAGCATTTTACAATTTTATATGCAATCTTATGTGATCTTTAGTATAATTTAATAACACATATATAATCACATATCCATTTGACGGATAAAGAAACCAGGGTTTAGATTTATCCCCTTGATTTGTTCAGAGTCTCACTGTTAACAAAGGGTGGAGGCAGGATTTAGATCCTTAAATTCCAGGTGGTACCCTTTTCCGAAATAACAAAATGGACAGAATACAAAGGAAGGACCTATTTGCTAGAAGGGACCAACAATACTTTCTGGAATAAGTAAATGTTTTTTAGAAGAAACATCTGGGTGGGGTGCCTGGGTGGCTTAGTCGGTTAAGCGTCCGACTTTCGCTCAGGTCATGATCTCGCGGTTCGTGGGTTTGGGCCCCGCGTCGGGCTCTGTGCTGACTGCCAGCTCAGAGCCTGGAGCCTGTTTCAGAGTCTGTGACTCCCTCTCTCTCTGACCCTCCCCTGCTCACGCTGTCTCTCTCTCTCTCCTAGAAATAAATAAAACATTAAAAAAAAAAAAAAAAGAAGAAACATCTGGGTAGGCATAGCATATGCCAAACAGTTACTCAGGGAGTTGAGAAATGGTTTTGATGTCCCCTGTGGAGTGTAAAAATGTGTTTGATTGCAAGTAACAGAAACTCTACTCAAATTGCAGGAGATTCCCAGACAGAGTAATCAGGGGTGGTTTCTATCTCTTGATTCTGTTTTCCTCAGTGTTAACTATATTCTTAGATAGGCTAAGATATCCCATCCCCATGGGATGGCAAACTGATTCCAGCATCTCCAACCTCATATTCTTCTAGTATAATAACCCCTCCATTATGAAAGCCTTTTCCCCAATAACTCCAGGTTTGGCCAACACTAGATTATGTATCCAACTCTAGAGTCAAATGGCTAGGTCAGCTCCAGGCCAAACCATGTGAACTAAAATTAAAAGTAAAATCAGAAGTCTGTTACCAAAAGCACAGTTACTGTGAATATCAAAATAATACAATACCCTGTAAGGTAATGTGGAAAAGTTAGAAGTTTTGATGAAAAAGAAAGTTTTGATGGAAAAAGAGAACATAAGGCATTTGTGATTACCACATTGAAGACTTCTTCAAATTCTTCAAATTCCTGGGGCGCCTGGGTGGCTCAGTGTTTGACTCTGGCTTAGGTCATAATCTCACGGGTTCATGAGTTTGAGCCCTGCGTCAGGCTCTGTGCTGACAGCTCAGAGACTGGAGCCTGCTTTGGATTCTGTGTGTGTTTGTCTCTCTCTCTTTCTGCCCCTCCCCCACTCTTGCTCGGTATCTCAAAAATAAACATTTAAAAAATGAAAAAAAAAAGATGTATTCAAATCCCCTTTTATGGAAGGAGGGAGAGCTTCCCAGGAACAAGACAGCTCCTTTATTCCCCACAAATTTGATTGCACTAGGAAGACAATCTCCTCTGCTCACTGTGACAAGGGAGATGTGTTGTCCACTGCCTGGACAGATGCCTACTGCCTCACTGTGCTCTGAGGAGAGCTTCTGAGGGAGGAAATGGTTTCCATCCTTAAGGCTATTTTACTGGAAGCTGGAATTAGCAGGAAAAACACAGAAGATATGAGTACATTAGTACATCTAGAGCTAAAAATCTGGAGCCAGTGGGATATGAAAGAGCAAAGGTATGTATATGTATATGTTTATGTATAACTCTAACAAAAGGAGGCTGGACTAAAAGAAAGGAAGGAAAGGAAAAAGAGAGAAGAAAAAACAAAGAGACAGTTTAGTTTTCTAAATAGGCTTCGTATTCTCAATATCTTTCTTCCCTTCTTCCTGCTTTTCTTAGTTAGCATGTTGACTAGACAGAGACAGAAATATTAGTGGCTTAATCAAGGTGAAAATTTCTTTCTCTCCCAGGTGAAAGTCTGAGCTGATAGACCATGAAGACTAGTCAGGTGAGAGGCTCTGCTCCCCAAGGTCCTCCTCTGACTTGTTCTGTCCTTCTTGTTACCCTACCCATGGTATTAGCATTCTCATCCACAAGGTCAGAGTTGACTCACCCTTACTACATCTCAAAGAGGAGGAGAAAGGTTAGCAGCTTCCTATTAAATGTGTAAACTAAGAGTTGGCAAGATCATTTCAGCTGACTTCCCTTTTGTCTAGAAGGTAGTCATATTGTCCTACCCAGATGCAAAAGAAGTAAAAAATGTAGTAGAGCTGGGGCACTTGGCTGGCTCAGACAATAGAGCAGGCACCTCTTGATCTCAGGGTTGTAAGTTCGAGCTCCATGTTGGGTATAGAGATTACTTAAAAATAAAATCTAAAAAAAAAAAAAAAGTGCTATAGCTGACTGCCAAGCACCCAGTTAAGCTAAGGGGAATCTATTATCAACTGAAAAATGGACATTTTGGGGAACAATTAACAATCACTGTCCTTTACCCTTCCAATTAAAGCCAGTTTTTACCCATTGTTCTCCCCTGAAACTTTCTACCTCCTTCAAGAATTAGCTTATGTGACCTCTTTTAAAAAGCCGTTCCAGGGACACCTGGGTGGCTCAGTCAGGTAAGTGTTCAACTCTTGGTCTCAGCTCAGGTCTTGATCACAGGGTTGTGAGTTCAAGCCCCATGTTGGGCTCTGAGCTGAGTGGGAGCCTACTTAAAAAAGTAAAATAAAAAGATATCATTCCAGTTCCTCTTGCTCCACTGAGATCCCATAATTCCTTAGACTGTATGATATTTCAGTTAGATGGGTTCTCATACTAGTCTATGGGTTCCTTGAGGGTGAGGATGAGGTCCAAGTCAGGTCTCTGCCGACTACCACATCTACTACATGGTAGGGCCTAAAAAGTGATTACTAAATTACTGAAACTTCTTCTCTTTTATGGACCTTTCGAGAGTAAGCTGGGAATCTTAGAATGCTGAAAAATTAGAAACCTCTAAATTCTTCAGTGTTTACTTCCTAAAAGCAAGGATTTTTTTTCCACGTAGCCACATTTTTTTCTTCTTCATTTTTTTAATGTTTTTTTTAAATGTTTTATTTATTTCTGAGAGAGAGACAGCATGAGCAGGGAAAGGTCAGCGAGAGAGGGAGACACAGACCCTGAAACAGGCTCCAGGTTCTGAGCTAGCTGCCAGCACAGAGCCCAACGCAAGGCTCGAACCTACGAACCCTGAGATCACCACCTGAGCTGAAGCCAGACACCCAACCGACTAAGTCACCCAGGCGCCCCTATTGTTTTAAATATGGAACACTTCACAAATTTGCCTGTCATCCTTGCACAGGAACTGTGTTAATCCTCTGTATCCTTCCCCTTTTAGTGTATGTGCTGCAGAACCAAGCACTACATAACCACATTTTAAAATTATAATTTGACAGAGATCTCCTTAAATGCCTGGAGGAAAGGAAGGAAGTGAGGGTGGAAAAAAAGGAGCAGATTAGAAAAAGAATCTCCAGGTCTTTGGAGTAACCTGAGTTTGGATCACTCCTTTGTGCTTAGCCAGGTTGTTTACAACTCTGCCTTAACCTCCACTTCCTGCTTGCCCTGAGCCAAAGGGGAAAACTTATAGTCATCTCAGTTCTCTTAGCATGTGTCCTTCTTTCTCCATTCATGTGACTTTCTAGATTGCCCAGTATACCCAGGATCCTTTCAAAGCCCTTGTTTTATCCACCACCCCCCACAAACTCTCAATCCCTGGACTTTCCTCCCAGGCTTTTGGTGTGTCTATTGTTCACCCAGCTGTTATTTTCCACCCAGTTAGCAACAGTTTGTTCACTTGCCTTTCAGTGTTTTAAGAAAAAGTCTGTGTAGCCTTTCTGCCATCATAGAATTCCAAGTTAGGTAAAACAAAGGGAACCTCATTGTATCAGTCCTTCAGGGAAACCCTGGAGAGCTCAGAAAGACAAACTTTATCCCTTTAGAACAAGGTTCACTCTGCCTCTGAAAGAAGCAGGTACCCACACAAAGATGGCAGGAACATGGGCTGCCATCTTAAAGACTGCTGCTACATCTTAGGTGAGTTAAAACACCACAAAGATGTACTATGTTTCAGTGGACTTTCTCCTGGCTAAACATTAACCTGGTTGCTGCAAACTTTTGACTATCTCCCAGAGTTCTGTAAAGGCTGAAACAATTTTTGTTAAGTTTTTTCCAGTGTTTCTGCGGAGGGATGGACCCCATTCTCGGCCATTTTCCCTGATGCCACTCCTATTTCTATGCCTTTCTGTTGTACTTAATCTTTACCTTTTTGTGCTATTCTTCAGGTAATTTCCTTAGAACCATCTTCTAGTTCGTTAATTCTCTCTCTGACGGCATCCATTTAAAATAGTGTATCTTGGGGGCGCCTGGGTGGCTCAGTTGGTTAAGCATCCGTCTTCAGCTCAAGTCATGATCTCACGACTCATGGGTTCAAGCCCCACATCAGGCTCTGTGCTGACAGCTAGCTCAGAGCCTGGAGCCTGTTTCAGATTCTGTGTCTCCCTCTCTCTCTGACCCTCCCCTGCTCACACTGTCTCTCACTCTCTCTCAGAAATAAATAAAACATTAAAAATTTTTAAATAAATAAAATAAAATAAAATAGTGTATCTTGGGGCACCTGGGTGGCTCAGTCAGTTAGGTATCTGACTTCAGCTCAGGTCATGATCTTGTGGTCCATGGGTTCAACCCCCACATCAGGCTCTGTGCTGACAGCTCAGAGCCTGGAGCCTGTTTCAGATTCTGTATCTCCCTCCGCAGCTCGTGCTCTGTCTCTCTCTGTCTCAAAAATAAATAAACGTTAAAAAAAAAACTTTTTAAAATAAAAAAATAAAGTAAAATAGTATATCTTGTAGGGGCGCCTGGGTGGCTCAGTCAGTTAAACCTTGGACTTTGGCTCAGGTCATAATCTTGCAGTTCATAAGTTCAAGACCTGTATTGGGCTCTGTGCTGACAGCTCAGAGCCTGGAGCCTGCTTCAGATTCTGTCCCCCTCTTTCCATGCCTCTCCCCATTGCACACTCTGTTTCTCCCTCTCTCAAAAATAAATAAACCCTAACAAAAAGAAAAAAAGAAAAGAGTCTATATCTTGTTTACTGATATTTTCCTTCTGGTAATATAACAGATAGAAACTTAGCATGTCTGATTCCATAATGCTTCTATTTCCTTTGCTGCTATGATCTATAGCTTAGAAACTTCTGCTTAGCCCTGCACATAGGCATGTTATAGCTAAAATTTGCCAAAACTGCTTTTTACCCAAAATCGACCTCACCCAAGGAGATAAGGAAGTACATACAGAAATGACTATGCCATATTTAAGATTTACAGGAATAACATGTCCAGATTCCTGTATACAAAGATCAGCTGACCAAGGACAAAGAAGTCACATGACTTTTCATGGGGTACCTGAATGGCTCAATCGATTGAGCTTCCAACTTCAGCTCAGGTCATGATTTCAGTTTATGGGTTCAAGCCCTACATTGGGTTCACTGCTGTCAGTGCAGAGCCCACTCCAGATCCTCTGTCCCCCCCTCTCTCTCTGCCCCACCCCTGCTCATAAGCACCCTTTCTCTCAAAAATAATAAACGTTGAAAAAAAAGAAGTTACATGACTTTTCTCAGATGTCTACAGACATCAGTCACAACTTTTGACTTCAACATCCACCTCCCCACTTCTCCTTTTAACTAACATAAAAGGAGCTTGAATTTCATACTGAAGGGAGATGGCTCTTTGGGACAATAGTCCTCCATCTTCTCAGTTTGCTGGTATTCGAAGTAAACTTGCTTTCCTTACCCTAACATCTTGCTTTTCAACTTACTAGCCTGTCATGCAGCAAGCAAAATGAACTCGGACTCAGTTAAAGTAGGTGTACTTTTCCATTTTAGGTAATCTTTTTTCAAATTTCTAATTGACTCATTTATTTATTTTTTAAACTTTGCATTTAAAACAATTTTTTAAAGTTTATTTTTTCAGTCATCTCTACTCCCAATGTGGGGCTTGAACTCATGATCACAAGATTAAGAGTAATATGCCTATTCAACCAGGCATCCCTAAACTTTCCATTTATTTTTTTTAAGACTTTCTTTATTTTTAAGTAATTTCTACACCCAGCGTGAGGCCTAAACTTACAACCCCAAGATCAAGAGTCACATACTCCACCAACTGAGCCAGTCAGGCACCCCAAATTTTCCATTTTTAAATAATCTTAGATTTATGTAAGTTAGAAGATAATACAGAGGGGTGCCTGGGTGGCTCAGTCAATTAAGCTTCCCACTCTTGATTTTGGCTCAGGTCATGATCTCACAGTTCATGAGTTCAAGCCCCACATTGGGCTCCATGCAGACAGTGCAGAGCCTCCTTGGGATTCTCTCTCTCTCTCTCTCTCTCTCTCTCCGTTTCTCTTTCTCTCTCAAAATACATAAATAAACTTAAAAAGAAAAAAGATAATATAGAGAATTTCTGTATACTCTTCACCTACCTTCCCTTAAGGTTAACATTTTACATAACTATGGTATGTTTATCAAAACTAAGAAACTAACATTGATACTATATTATTAATTTTATTCAGATTTCCTCATTTTCATGACTAATGTCTTTTTCATATTCAGAGTCCAATCCAAAATACCACATGACATATAGTTATCAACTCTCTTTAGTCTCCTTCAATCATTGACTGTTTCTCAGTCTTTCCTTGTCTTTCATGACCTTGGCACTTCTGTTTTTTTGTTTGCTTTTGTGTTTGTTTTGTTTTGTTTTGTTTTTTGAGCTAGAGAGAGAGGGTGCAAGTGAGTGAGAGGGAGAGAAAGAGAAAGAGAGAGAAGCAGGGCTCATCCAAGTGGGGCTCAAGCTCACCTGATGTGGAACTCGAATTCATGAACCATGAGATCATAACATGAGCCAAAGCCAGATGCTTAACTGACTGATCCACCCAGGCAACCAACCTTGGCATTTTTGAAGAGTATTGGACAAGTATGTTGTATAATGTCTAGAATGTCCCTCAATTTAGATTTTTTTCTGAGATTTTCTCATTATTAAACTAGAGTTACAGATTTTTGGGAAGAATGCCACAGAGGTGAAGTGTCCTTTATATCACATCACGTGGAGGAGTATATAATGTCAATATGACTTAATGTTATTGAAGTTAACCTTAATCATTTAATTAAGGTGGTTACTGCCAGGTTTCTCTACTGTAAAATTATATTTTTCCTTTTCCATGTTCTATGCATTAGAAATGAGTCACTAAGTCCAGCCTACTCTCAAGGAAAGGGAAATTAATCTCCACCTCCTAGAGGGAGGAGTATCAAAGAATTTATGCTCATTTTTTTTTTTAATGTGAGAGAGAGAGAGTTGGGGAGGGGCAGAGGGTGAGAGAGAGAGAGAGAGAGAGAGAGAGAGAGAGAATCTTAAGCAGGCTCCACACTCAGTGCTGAGCTCAATGCTGGGCTTGATCCCAAGATGCTGGGATCATGACCTAAGCTGAAACCAAGAGCCAGATGCTCACATGAGCCACTCAGATGCCCTAAAAGAACAATCTTTAAAAATTTTCTTTAACATAAGTATGCATTAGATCTTCAAAGGAATAAAAGAGAATAAGAAACTGTATAAAGTATAAAAAAGAATAAAACATTATGAAATGAAAACAGGCAAAAATAAAATACAAACAGGTATATACAAAAATCAATCAATCTGAAGACATATGTTAAAACTATCACAGTAACTAGGACATCTGGGTAGCTCAGTCAATTAAGTGTCTGACTCTTAATCTCGGCTCAGGTTATGATCTCACAGTTTTTGAGTTCTAACCCACATCTGGCTCTGCACTGATGATGTGGAGCCTGCTTGGGATTCTGTCTCTCCTTTTCTCTGCCCCTCCCCAGCTTGTGTGCCCAGGAGAATCCCTGCTTGGAATTTTCTCTCTCTCTCTCTTTCTCTCTCTCTCTCCCTTTGGCCCCTCTCCCTCGCTGGCGTGCTCTCTCTCTCAAAAAAATTTTTTTTGTTTGTTCTTTTACTTTCCTTTATCTGGGATGAATTATTCTCCTGATTATGGAGTTTTTGGTGAGGGGGCATCTGAGCATCTGATTTTTCTACAATGAGTTCTACTAAAGAGTTTAGGAAATTTACTTGCAAACTCATTTTGGAATGGGAAGTTTTGCTGCTTTGTTTTATTTTGTTTTGTTTTTCTTCTCATTGCTCCCACTCCTCCTTCTGGAGAGTTAAAGAACTCCAGTCCCAGGCAGGAGAGGGCAGCAGTTTGTTTCAGCTCTTTTCCTCACCTTAGTCCCTGGTTTTTAGCACTGAGACTGGTTCCTGTTCACTGCTTTGGAGCACTTCTAATGATGGCATGGTCTTTCCTGTGACCAGTCACCATCCA